ACTTAAAAGTGTCAGACTTACTTTTTTCTTTGGTCCAGCCTCCTTCCGGTCCGACACGTACTTCCCCAGCTTGCAGAGGCCCGGTACCGGTCCGATCCGGAGCCCGGCCGGGATGCTGCAGTCCGCGAACACGCTGACGGTGGTGGGCGCCCGGGTGGCTTGCATGGCGCGGGGGGAGATCAGAACCATGAAGACTTGATGGAGGCGATGAGAAGAGAGAGAGGTGAGCGCGCGGAGAGAGGCGGATGAGGAGGAAGAAGAGGAAGAGGAGGAGGAGGAGGAGAGGCCGATATCCGCCCTCAAAGTGACGCTGTGGCGTTTTGCTCTCCGGCTTTTCTAGTGATGATGGAGAAGGGTGAGGTGCACCCCCCCCCCCCCCCCCACACACACACACACACACACACACACACGACCTCTCTATTTGAGGATGCAAGTGTGTGAGTGAAGGAGGGAGGGTGCTACAGAGAGGTGATGCTGGTTTAAGGTGGGAGGAGCGGGAGCGGTCCTGAGTTTGCAGCAGCACTCTAGTTGTGTGCGTGCGCGCGTGCGTGTGTGCGTATGAAGAGTGAGTGTGAGAGAGTTGGACTCTCCCAGCAGCTGTGTACGGAGGGAAAGCGGGCCGGCCAGCTCACATGGAGCCTTTCCCCAGTCCGCCGCATAAAAAATCGCTCCAGAGCGGTCAGGAGACACAAAGGGCCCCTGCGACCTTCCCATCCCCGAAAACCAATTTGTCAAGGCCGGAGAAAGGAGCGCGCGGAATCAAAGGTTCCGGAGCGACCATTAATCCTCAGCATGTGGCTTTGTCCCGCAGACAGGTCCGATATTTGAACTGACAAATCCACTGTATAATTCCTCCATAAATCCTCAGCCCGCTCCTTTCTCCCCATTCACAGCGCCTTTTTGACGATCGGCGGCTACTTTAAATCTACTTGGCTGCCATTCTTAGAGCTCCTCGTGCTTCAAAGGGCCCCGCTGCCCCTCCTCCGCTCGGTCCCGACTTCAACAAAAGGAGCAGCGAAGTTTAGAGGACTTGTTAACTTCTATTGACTCCCGGCGTGTGCCGGGCTGGGATCAGGCAGGTACTGAAAGGAGAGAACCAGCAGCAGGAGGAGAGACACTCAGAGGGAGAACAGCATCAGCATCTTCACAACGCGCGCGCACACACACACACACACACACACACACACACTCTTTTTGCATTTTACATGATCGGTTTGCAATTCATACAGAATTCATTTTCTGCATGAATAAAAAAACAAGGAATACATTTGAAAATGCTTTATCTTATTTTTATTTTCAAATTGGCTTCAAAAATACCATTCAGATAATGATCCACGATGAAGAACAGGCAATAAT